CTACTACTACTACTACTACTCGAGGCGGAACCAGCGGATCAAGGAGTTGGAGAAGAGCATTGCAGTGATGACGACTGAGCTCCATGACCTCACAGCTGCCGCCCAGGCTTCCGATGCAAAGCCTTTGCCGCCGTCTGGGGAGTCGGAGGCATGATGATTGTGGTGTTACATGACAACACCGCACTGGTGGCTGAGGAATCTCTGTTGACTCGTGCCGCCTCAGATGCAGAAGAAATCTGTGCCTGAATTTTTGTTTTCTTGACTGATTTCCGACATGTCCTCGCAGCTTCTGTGCGAAGAAATAGACATATTCTGTGTGCCAGTGCGGCTGTACTCTGCAAGGCCAAGGGTGAGTCTTCCGCATATCCATGATCGAACCGTGCAGAGTTTTTCTCAGAGCTTGAAGAAAGTCAGAAAACATGTTTACGTCTCCCTTGGATGCCCTTTGGCCTCGGTTCTCAGCCGATGTCAACACTTCGACTGCTGGAATCGTGACAATCTCGACTGACTTCCCAGCTGTCGACCCCGTCTTCTACTGCCTGAATGCATACCGGAAAGAAATGAAGACTTTGGGGTTTCTGCTTGATGGCCCACTGAGGCGCCTGAGACAATCTGAGGTGTCTGAGACAATCCATCCGGCGTTGCGGGTCATGTATGCTGTGCCTGATCCGGAGAAGTGCATCTTCAATGGCCTGAAAGAGAGCAAGGACACAGGCCGCAGCAGGACGGCTTTCTTGGGCAAGCTTGGGAAGCTGTCTGAGCTGGAAGCCTTGTGCGGTCTGAGTTTCGATGTGATCGTTTTGGATCTATGTTCTACGTCTGAGGCCTTGTCTGAGAAGTTGCCTGAGTACTTGCCTGAGCACAAAATTGTGTTCATGCGCAGGTACACAGCTCGGCAGTTTGGCTGCCCTGCGTCTGACAGCGGCTGTATCTTCGGGCTGACTAAGAGGCCTCCGACTGAGAAGGGGCTAGAGGCACTGCGGCGGCTGATGTCTGTGCAGCTGGAACAGTGCATTGACTTGGAAAGCTATCACACGTCTGATGTGCAGTGGCATTACTTTGGGGATGCGCCGACAGCATGTGGTACGGAAGCTTCGAGCGACCCAGCTGCTGCACAGCCTCCTCCGGCTGTTCAAGGCACGACTGATGCGGATGAGCCAGGCCGGGACAGCTGTGTGTGCTGTCGTCCTGCGATGTCTGGTGCGAAGAACCAGGGAGGGGGTCGTGAGATAGATGTTCCTAAGGTGACGAGATGCCTGAGCAGAAGAAGAAGCTGACTTTGCCTGATCTGATCGCGAAGGCTGTCGAGCACAACTGGTTGCCGCATGAGGGGGACGTGAAGAAGAAGCAGCTGGCTGAGGTCGAGAAGTTGCCGTGCAAGCGCAAGCATGAAGATCTGGTTCAGGTGCATGCGGCCATCTTGAGACAGTACGCGAAGCAGCGGCGACTGACCAGCATTGTGATGTCTGACGCGAGCTCCCAGCGCCTGAGTCACCATCAGGTCTACTCAGGCGAGCTCCCGCCGTTCGGCAAGCCAATGATGTGCCTGAGCTATCACCCTACCGCGCGCAAGGACCGGTTTCGCATTGTCTCGAACCACGAGCTTCTGCAAGCACGCGGCTACCCTTTGGGTACTGTACATGTGCAGCTGCTCGGCATGAAAGCTGCCGGACAGGCGGCAGCTGGGGCGCCACCGAGTGCCCTTGGCCTGATTTTGTGTGCTGCCGCACGGCTTTTGCAGCCTGATCCTTCTTAGGCTGAAGGTAGCCGCCAAGCTGACAGACAGGGCCCGATGTTGTGTGCAAAGACTGAGACCGCACGCCTGCTATCCACTTTGTTGCCGGCAGCGTCTTAAGTTGAAGCGTCTGCGAGTCGCGGCCATGTCGACACATGCCGTCCACCTGAAATAAGTCTAGGATTTTGTTCCGGGAAACAGATGGCTCCCCAGACTTTCCCGTTGACGGGCTAGTCTGGGGAACCATGTTTTTCCTGCTTCTAGCCAGGTTGTCGGAGGAAGTCTGGGGAGATCGTTCTTGACAAGTTGGGTTGCGCAAGCTAAAACGGCCTTCCCCAGACTTGCCCGTCGACGGGAAAGTCTGGGGAGCCATCTGTTTCCCGAAATGAAATCCTAGACTTATTTCAGCATCCGGTGTCCGAAGTGTTTTTTTTCAAGATCATTTAGAGTCTGCTGCTAGCGCAGTGGCTTTGCTCTGTGCAATGACTGGTTCACGCCGTGTGACGACGAAGACCGCGCCGGAGCCCCCGCATCCGGTGAATGCCTTGATGTTGGAGGCAGCCAAAGCTGTGAAGCTCGAGGCGAGTCTCTCGCCTAATACGTGCCTTATACAATATCATTCATATGTTTTCTGAAAGAGCGTCTTGTCTTGGCAGGAGGGCCTGCCTGAGCCCATCGATGTCGGTGGTGTCTGCGCTCTGGACACTGCCATGTACAAGGAGTGCATGAAGCGTGATGGAGAATACACCTGTAATATTTCCTTTGACATGCTTCCCCTTCTGGGCTGGGCGCACAAGAGCATACCGCCGAATCAAGGCCTGCTGCTGCTCGCTGAGTTTGTGGCAGATTGTAACTGTACTACTGTTCTCCAAGCAGGTTCGGTCAAAATCATGGAAGCCCGGCACTTCACCGACCCGGAGGGCAAGGTCGTGTGCCCCACATCCTGGTCTGAGGTTCTCGTGATACGAGCCGTCAGTGGGACTGAGCCGCCCAAAACCGACGTGGAGCGCTTGAATGGAGATGCCTACAGTCAGAATCTACGAAAAACATAAGAATGAAAAAGGATTTCCGTACATCTGACTCAGGAGCAGCCTTTCTCATCAGCTGGGCAAAGGCATCGTCTGATGTGCAGAAGCGGTTCAAACAGTTGGCACGGTCTGTGCGTGCCACTCTGTCGCATGAAAGTCATTAAAGGCAGCGGACGTTCTGAATCGTCAAGTCTGTGCCTTTGTGGCACTGTTCAGGTGAAGTTCTTGATCCTCCCCGACAAGAGCCTGACCGAACGAAAGAAGTGGGAGCTGGCTGAGGCTGCAGGCAGGATGCCGCCCTGCGGTTTGTGCTATATCGAGGGCTGTGACTGAGAGAGTCCTGCAAGGTGACAACGCGGAGGCCTTGACTTTGCAAGGGTGGAGGAAGATCTTGGGCATTGGCATCGTGGAAGGCACGTTGCGCAGCCTGAAGGTTTCCTGCACGCCTGCAGCGTTGGAGGATTGGTGACTCGGATTAGTGAATCATGATGAGATGCTCTGCCCAATTGTTACAGTCAAATCTGACTGACCGAGTCCTGAGGTTCCAAGGGGGCAAGATCAAGGGGATGTCTGAGAAGAACATCTCCAAATGCCTGAAAATCCACAAGCGGATTACCAGTGCCGATTACCGTGTCCAGGAGTTGATCGGTATGTTGGATGACCTGTTCGGTTCACGCCACAGCCTGAGCGCCGTCCAGAATCTCGATATTCTGGTGGTTCGGACACATGTGGCAGGCCAGGAGACAGTCTCACGTGATCTTCTGCTTTGGGCGGCTGAGCATTTCAAGATGGATGTGGACCGTGGAACGGTGGCGCCTGATGCGGCCAAGGCGCCCTTTGGCCTGAGCATCTCGAGGGCGTTGCTCAAGAAGAGGATTGTGAACTTCTTGCGCAAGAAGTTCCCGCCCCCGAAGGCGTCTGAGACGACTGAGACTTGGCGGTCCATCAACGACATCTTCGGAAGCATGAGAAAGTTCCGCCTGAGTGGCTTGGAGCAGGGTAGCACCCTTGCGATGCCTTGGAGGGTTGCCATGCCACCACACATCCAGGATGTGACTGACTTTTTGACCAGCCTGATCCGCGGAGGCGTTTTGGAGAATGTGCTTGACTCCTTCCTGGAAAAGGATTCGCTGGCTTCGGCTGAAGTGGTGCTGGCGTCGACTGACTTGAAGGCGACGTTTGACTTGCCTGCAGCTTTGGAGGCCGCGAGACTCCATGGCAAGAAGAATGAGCCGGAGGCGCCTGAAAAAGTGCCTGAACCGCCGGCCCCGACGCCTGAGACGACTGATAACAAGACAACGGATGACGTCCACATGGAGCCTCCAGCTGCAGAGGACAGGGCTGTAATAATAGCAAGTGTTCTGAAGCTTGTCGTCTCTCATGCCATTCGGGGAGGACCTGCATGAAGAGCCCGAGGAGGGGCCGAAACGCCTCGAGCGCAAGACGTTCTTCGATCTGCTGAAGTTATCTACTTTGGCGGAAGATGTGCTGGCAAAGGTTGCGGATGACGCACAGTTTGAGACGTTGCTTGAGAGAGCCCGCTTGCGTGTCCTATCTGTATTCACTGTGCTGCTTTCATCTGCGTGCTGCATTCCTCTACTCAGGCTTTATGTTGCTGCACAGTCTGAGGTGCAAATACCTTTATGGAGCTCCGCATAGCACCGACTACAAAGGCGAACTGGAAAGCGGCATTGACACAGCTGCCGGCAGCAGAAGCTAGGATCTTTGTGTATGATTGCAAGCGCGAAGGAAAGGTTTCCGGCTTGGAGGCCAAAAAAAACCCGTTTCGTCGCAGCACAGCCATCGACAAGAAGTCGTATTCCAACGTGCTTGAAGCTCTGCTTCTCAGCTGAAAACGTTCGTCTGAAGATCAATGGCATGCTTTGTTGTTGTGTTTCTGAGGCTTGGTGATCCGAAGCTGGTCAAGGACAAGAAAGAGACCCCCTTCTTGAGGGAGACTGACATTGGCATTTTCTTGGACGGCCGAAATCCTGCCAACCTCAAAACGATGAAGGCTGACCTGGTTCGTTACAAGAAAGCGTCTGAGCTCTTGTCGAAGACTCAGGGACTTGTGACGGTGCGCCTGATGTTCAAGGAGGTGGCCCTGGCCAGAAAGACATGCTTGACTGAGACGGCGCCTGATCCGCTGGAGAACATGCTGGTGCTCCAGCCGAAGGCCTACAAGCAGCAGCTCCCGCAGCGAGCTTTGCCTGAGTTTGCGACGGACAACTTTAGCAGGGCATGGCTTGGCCTGACCGTGCGGGACGCGCCTGACATGGAGTTGGCCACTGTGACGACTGATGAGGACTTCTTCCCGGTGCCTCCCAAGAAAAAGGCTGCGGCTGAGGCTTCTGCGGAATCTCAGCCTGATCCGGCCGCAGTCGACGACAAGTCTGACAACGAGGATGCCGAAAGTGCGTCTGAAGCCCAGGAAACCTGGACGCCTGACGCCGGCACTTTGTTGTTTCCATGGGAGGCCAGCGAAGCGTTTTGGGGCAGTGTGCTGCAAGGTTTCCACTTGAAGTCCCCCTCGACAACGTGCCTGATCGACTTCACACCGGGAAGTGGAGTGGCCGCACTGGCGGCTGTCCGCGGCCGCTACCGCTACACAGGGTATGCGGCCACAGCTACGCATGAGAAGTTCTTGCGGCAGTATGTGATGTACAAGATCGTGACTGAGATGATTTTGAATATCGATGCGACCTCTTGGAACACGAAGAAGAGGATCTTGAGCCGAGAAAGCAGCCTGACCGGTGGTGAGAGTGAGAGCTGTGTCACTGAGAAGGCTTCGCCTTCTGTGCCTGAAAAGAAGCTTAAGACGAAGAGTAGCAGCAGCAGTGAAAGCTCCAGTGAGTCCTAAATCTTACAATGCTTGACATTAGTACATGGCTGATGACGAGAAGCAGCCCTTCTGATTCTGACTGGGATATGTCGTGTTTTTCGTTTTCACTGCTGCCACTTGAGCCTGGCATACAAAGTGTCTTGGAAGCGAACGGGGCCTGACAATCTGAGAGAAGCAGCTCCGGACCCGTACAGAGCAGCTTGCAAGCTGCTGTAGATTGGACCCGTGCCAGCGGGAGTCAGTAGCATCGCTGATTATGCCAGACTGTGATTTTGTCTGAAGTCTCAAGAGTCGGATAGCTGCCAACATCGAGAAGCCTTGGAAAGACTGGATGTGCAATCATGGTGCATTGACAAAAGCGTCACTAGAATGACTGAGTCCTGTGCGTGCCCAGGTCGAGCGTCCAACTTCTGCTCTTGGTGACGAGGCCGGATCAGGTGCCTGAGTCTAAATAACGTGTGACACACCGAATCGCACTTCTTCTTGCTTCAGCCTGTGCTGCAGGACGGGATCTGGATGAGGTTTAGGGCTCTAGCTAAAGTAGCTTGAGGCTTTGGGAGTAGAGTTTGGGAGTAGAGTCAATTCATTATAACTTTAGAGTCGTCGATCCCGTGAGTTGGGTAGTGGCATGTCAACACCTTTCGCCTACAGGCGGTAGTCGCCGATAGGCGGTAGTCGCCGTAAGGCGGTCGTCGCCGAAAGGCGGTATACTCGCCGATAGGCGGTAGTCGCCGTAAGGCGGTAGTCGCCGAAAGCAAGTAGTCGCCGAAAGGCGGTACTCGCCGAAAGGCGGTAGTCGCCGAAAGGCGCCGGTAGTCGCCGAAAGGCGCCAGGACAGAATTACCTCCACCCCCTGACTGAAGTGACTGAAGTGATTTCACATTCTATTGGGGCAGAAAGAACCTGTGGTCGTTGCTGTTTCTCACCCGCTGAGACCTGTCCTGGCGAATGAGCTTCAGACGGCGGTGGTCTTCCCCATGGACCACGTTCAGGCACGGTATTACTGCAAGCAGCAACGCCACCAGCAACAAAACAGCAGCAATCAGCAGCAGCTAAACTAGCAGCACCAGCAGCAGCACAAGCATCACTGCCGCGGAAGAGTTCGCCATGCGTTATGAGTAGGCGAGAAACACGGTGCAATAATGCAAGAG